ACATGCAATGGTCACTGTGGACAATACCCACAGGAGCAAGTTCAGGTGAAGTGTCTTGCCCAAGGACACACCGGCTTTACAGACGCAGCAGCGGCAGGTTTCACCCCTTGATCTGATGATCACAGCGCACTGCGCCACACCGTCCATCTTCACGCCTCAAAGTCATCGAGGTGCTTTTACAAGTACACATTAGTATCATACATGTACTGTGGACAATACCCACAGGAGCAAATCCGGGTGAAGTGTCTTGCCCAAGGACACAACGGCCTGACGCAGTGGCGGCATGAGCGGGTTTCGAACTGGAGTTCCCCAGCACCCCCTTGATCTGATGATCAGATGCACAGACCACTGCGCCACCCGTCCCATGTTATGTCCTTGAATGTGAACATGTGGGTGTTTGTCAGCTCTTAACAACTGGCGGTACATTACATTCAGCTGATGCTTTTGTCAAAGGACTTACAATAAGTGCAATCAACCATAAGGGTACAAACTGAGAACAGCAATAATCAGTACATTAGCGTCAAATAAGCGAAACCATTTTAAGTGCTGGTGCATTAGCTTCATTTGAATTGCCAAGGTGCAGCAGAAACAGGTGGGTTTTCAGTCTGGGATGGAACATTACATTTCATTACGCTAATGCTTTTATTCAAAGCGACAAAGTGCAATAAACCATAAGGTTGAAAACATTTTGAACAGTAAGAAACCTGCAAGTTCATTGCTTTAAATAAGCCATACCGTTGTAAGTGCTGGTGCATTAGTCTCGATTCAATTGACATCAATTGTTTAAAGGTCCCCTATTATACTCTTTTTCATCAATATATTATAGGTCTAAGATATATACAAAACATGTCTCTAAAGAGTTTGGCTCGAAATTTGAAACAGGTCATTGTAGCATCCCATAATCCCCTCTGTTTCAGCCCTGTTTCAAAAGTGCTGATTCTGTGTCTGTTTTAAATGCTAATGAGCTGCTGCTGGCCACGCCCCTCTGAGAGATGATTGGTTTAAATAAAGTCAATGGTGCTCTAGGAGGAGATTCAGGTGATAAGGTGTGGGGGGGTGGGGGGGGGGCTAATGGTTACACAAGCCAAAAAATCGTTATGACATCACAAAGTGGCCAAAATCACAGACAGGTTTTTATATAAATGGATCAGGAGTCTTTGTTCCTGAAACGTTCCTCGTCTCTGAACACAGAGGACACACATATTTATAACAGACATGGAAAAGTGGATTTTGCATAATAGGTGACCTTTAAGTCAAGTAGTTGACTTTTTTTAGGTTTAAGAGCAAGGTACAAGCAAAATCAACCCTCATGACGTGACGTGAGGTCTCGCAGTCCATTGGATCGCTTTTGTCGCAGAATTGCCCCTTCCAGCAGCTCTTTGGAGAGGAATGTATGTCCTGTATGACGGTTTCTCAGTTGATTGTCCGATGAATTGACGAGGTGTCGTACAGGCATTGCTGGTTCCCAGTGGATGAATCTTAACGCCTTTGATGATCCCCTGACTTTCCCAATGCTCTCCACCCACCAGCAGGTCAAAGCTTAACCTTATACTGTGGCATTTCCATATCAACTTGGGGAATTGCCCTGACATTTGATACATACATTCATCTCCCCCTCAGGATGAACTGGTATAACTTTGGTGATGACTTCGCTTTTCAATTAGCATCATCACAAGGTAAAACTTTTAATCTTTGGCTACGTAACTAAGGACGTTCCCATCAGCCCATATTTTCGATTTTTACTACACGATTATCGCGACCAAAACAGTTCACAAATACAATAATGTTGCGATAGTTTTAGCAAATTTGAAAATCGAATGAAATTCATATTTTCAAATTCATCCTTGATTTTGCTTTTGTGCATTTTGACTTTTTTTTTCAAATTAAATACACTCAACATATGATGTATTTGGAGTCTTTAACCGTAGCTGTAGGAAAGTGTACAAAAAGAGATAGAGATAGATTTTTGGCAATATTATAATATGTGTAACAGTATATACAAAAAATAGTATAACAAAAGTCAGGGTCACCAGTATATCGGATATAACACTGGTAAACTTGGTAAAACATTATACTGGCCAAACATCTGCATGCAAGCCTTGTCTTTGTGAGACCGCACGCTGTTACCATTACGCTCAAAGCAAAGCGTTCCTGCCTGCGAGGCTGCAGACTTGCCGTCTTGTTTGAAACTATTACGCATTAAAATTACCATAAAAGCAAGATTCTGAAGGACGTAACCTTAGTTTGTTCATCTGTAGTTTCATCTCAGTCTCATCTAATCAGTATCATCAGCTAGCTCTAATGAGACAGACTGTGTGGTCCATGCTTACCACACACACACACACACACACACACACACACACACACACACACACACACACCACACACACACACACACCACACACACACACACACACACACACACACACACACACACACAGAGATTCACAGACAAACAGCCAGATGGGGTGTACATATAGATTCTGGAGTCGTGTGGAGAGCATCGCTATCAGCCTGCCGTGTGAGGAATGAAGTCCTGCAGACTCCCCAAAATACACAAAAAACTCTCTTAAAGGCCAAGGTCTCAGACTTTCTACGGAGAGGCTGGTCTGCATATTTACATTCCTTATTCTTACTGGGCACACCCTTGTGTTTGTGTGAGTGGGTGGTAGAAAAATCTCACCGGCTTGAGCTTCAATCTCAGGATCCATGTGTTTGTAATCCTCTCCAGAATGGAAGGAGTCATCACATACAGAGCATCAACTAGTTCCTGAACAGTGTCCTTCACATGCTGATATCCAAGAGAGGGAGTCACACAGTCACAAGATGGAGGAGTAGAAAGCAGTATTCAATGTTTACTTCAGATTAGCTCCACGTCAGAAATGAGCATGCTTGATGTCTCTCTCCATAGAGGCTGAATCATCATGTTAATCACATAGCTATCATATGCCTCAAACAGCTCTTCTAGGTAATCACACTTCCTGTCATGTTCACAGCTACAGTTGATACCTTTGTTATCACGTTGCTCTCATGTTGGAAGAGGACATTCAGTGTTTTCCCAACAGTAGGTGTGTATATATGTGTGTTGTTTAAGGTATGAAAAACTAAAGCCCGGAGTAACTGTATTAGGTTGGTTGAAAGCAATAATATTAATTTGAAATAGGTTCAACTTAATATTGTTGCTTTCAACCAACCTAACACATTCATGTGAAATCCGTTGTCATAATACATTTAGTTTAAGTCTCGTTTCAGTGTTGGATTGATGGTTTACAGGCTTTGAACAATACATTTTCACCTTCATTGCACCGAGGATTTACGTAACACGGGTCGTCTTTCAATCATTACGAAAACATTTGAAAGTACAGATAAAAACGACCGAAAATCTCCATATTTTTGTCCCTGTATGACAGTGCTTTCAATCACACGTTGGTGACAGATTGATAGTCCAGCAGGCCATACCTGAGTATCAACAAGGTAATGACGGGGGTAAGTGACAGATTATGTCTCCGTGTTGCTTCATCACGCCTGATGATAGAAGGAGGAAGCTAAACATCAATGCCTCGAGTTTGTTTTGTGTTGGGATCTATATTAATGTGCATTCTGTATCCATAGAAGATGATGGACATGTATCTAAGAAGCTGGATTGATTGATTGATTGGCAGCTGATATCGATGCTGTTTTCTCAGTCGCTTCTGCTAGCGACATTGTTCCTCTTTAATAGTCTTTGGTATATCCTCTTTTGTGGTGATTGGGTACATTGTTTGCTCTACTTCTTCATTATCTGACCCTGATTGTAATCATTTCTTGCCCATGCTGGCTTAATGATTTCAGGCTTAGCAACAGCACTCATGGACGCTCAGCTGTTTCATAGAAGCAGAGAAGTTATTGATATTGTCCCTAATTTATTGAGAGACAATTGTGCAGCGGGGATGATTTGTGCTCTCACCTCTGCATTTAAATAAGGCCTCAGTGTATAAGTAATTGCTTTTTGTTGTGATTCATACCAGCATCATGCATTCGGCTGATGGGAGTGAACTGCTGTTGATTTAGCCTCGCTTAAATCAGATCTGTAATGTGTTTTACCTTTAGGATTTACACTCCTCATTTCTCCAGTTGCTAGTTATTTACTGTAGTTTACTGGATGTGTTGACAGAAGAGATTTTTCTACAATATTACTTTATGTTAAACACATCCATGTAACACTGAGCAACAATAGCATTTAATTTGGGACATGTTTTCTGTCTATATGAATAAGTCCAATGTTTAGTCCTGGGGTAAAAAGCTGGCTCTTATATCCTCACTATGTTCTACTAGATCATCTCTAACTCTATCGACCTGCTGTTTGGTGCTGGGAAGGCAAGGCAAGTTTATTTATATAGCACCTTTCAACACAAGGCAATTCAAGGTGCTTTACAAAAATGAAAGACATTCAGACAAAGGCATTTCAAAACAGACATTAAAAAGAAAAGATAATAAAAGAAACATTAAAAGAAAAATACATGAATTTGTATTCAAAAGTCGTACATGAATAAAAAGTACATGAATAAAAAGTTACAGTGCAGTTTAAGATATGAATAGTTAACACAGAAGTTCCACTTTACTGATGCCTTTCTTTAAGGTTTCTCTGAACATGAGCTGTGTACGCTTGTACGGTACGTCCCGAGCAGAGAAAAGCAGCCAGGACAAAGTCCCCAGACTCTGATTCCCTGGGGTTACTAGCCCCACATGTTCATTAACCAAAAACGAAACACAACCGCTCAGTTTCAATTAAAAGCAGCGGCAAAAAGAAAAGTCTTCAGCCTGGATTTAACTCTTACTTACCCAAGTAGTAAGAGTTGCAGTGGACCTGCAGGTTTCTGGGAATGTAGTGTACAATATCTTCATTCACAAAAAATGTTGAGCTAAAAACAGATGTGTGAAAGTAAACCAAACAATGAAGTTATAAGCTGTACACCGAAACAACTTCTCCAAAGATATTGGCTTTAACAACCCGTCCTCAGACACAAAACTGGGGAGGAATGTGGCTCGAACCTTCCTGGATTACTACAAACTCAACAACCACATCAAGGACAACAGACCAACTCACATTCAAAGGTAAAACAGTTAGACATCATGAAAAAAATGTATATGAAATTAAATAAATTACCAAAATAGGACATTTTAATTCGTTCTGATTCGCTAAACCTTAACAGTACCATCTCATATTGTTGTGTATTTCTATTCTGCACTATTACTATTATTACTTGCACTATTTTATCTGTTGTATTGTGTTGCACTGTTGGAGGAGCCTGTGACCTAAGATTTTCATTGTCATATCTACACTGTAGCTATGTACCAATGACAATAAAAGCCTTGAAACTCTAAATAAATTACCCAAATAGGACATTTTAATTCGTTCTGATTCGCTGAAACTTAACCCTACCGTCTCATATTGATGTGTTTTCTGTCCGCAGTGCTGAGGGGATTTCAGCGGACAGGCGACAGTAACAATAAGGGAAATCGAGACGCAGAGAGAGAGAAGGAGATGAGCCAGGGTGTCCGACACTAGACTAATGGACAGAAGGACACGGACTGAGCATGAATAAAACGCAGAGCACCGTAGCAGGAGGATCCTTCACACTTCATTGCCTTTAGAAGCTCCACATCTCCCTGGCTATAAAGAGTTATTTTCACAGATTTGTAACAGTGGGTTGACTGGTACTGCAGGACTAAAAGGGGAACAAGTTAAGGGACTGTAAAATGTGGACTTATTGAATGCCAAGGGAGGACGGACTGGATCCCATCTAAAGCCCATCTGAGGCCTTTCTGCAGCAGACCCTTTTTTTGTTGATAGAATTGTGAATAAGTGCATGCTTCCCTGCTGTTACTGACTTTATTTTGGTGTTATTATCTCTGTTGTTATTTATTATAAGAAGTCATTAAACACTTAAATGCAATGTTGGACCTGTTTTTTTTTTTTAATTCTCATTCAATTATTTACTTGTTGTCTTTGGTGCACCAGTATGAGCAATAAACGCAAAATCCTACTTCAAAATTAAAGTACCTAAAGAAAAATCTCCTGCTTCTAATTATTTTTATTGGGCTTTTTTAGTCTGCGTGACTTCAATCATATAGTCTGATATTAAGGAGAGTTGGACTTGGACAGGCATTACAAATAACTATGTTTCAATGCATAGGTATAAACTATATATATATAAAAGCAACTTTGCTTAGCTTATGTAGGTCATATAGATTAGGTTTCATAACTAGTTAAAATCTCCTTGTAGTTACTGTAACGACTTTATGTAAATGAGACCTACAGTATTCACATAACATGGCTATCTTTATAGTTGTGTTGTTACCAGAGGTGGGAGAAGTACTTATATCTTGTACTTGAGTAAAAGTAGAAGTACTTATATCTTGTACTTGAGTAAAAGTAGAAGTACTCAGATCTTGTACTTGAGTCAAAGTACTCAGATCTTGTACTTGAGTAAAAGTAATCAGATCTTGTACTTGAGTAAAAGTAGAAGTACTCAGATCTTGTACTTGAGTAAAAGTAGAAGTACCAGAGTGTAGGAATACTCTGTTACAGTAAAAGTCCTGCATTCAAAATGTTAATCAAGTAAAAGTAGTATTATCATCCAAATATAGTGAAAGTAGCGACAGTAAAAGTAGTGATTGTGCAGATTGGTCCATTTCAGAATAATATATATGATATGTTTTATAATGATTGATCATGAAAGTGTTCTCAAAGCTGGTGAAGGTGCAGCTAGTTTGAATGACTTTGTATTCTGCAGGGTAGCTGGTGGATTTACTCCAGGTGGAACTAAAGTCTGATTTAACACTTGATTAGATTTCACATCATTCATCTGTGAAGTAACTGAAGCTATTAAATACATGTAGTGGAGTAGAAGTACAAAGTAACATTAAATTGGAAAGTACAAGTACATCCAAATTGTACTTAAGTACAGTAGTAAATGTACTTAGTTACTTTACACCACTGAACATGGCTATCTTTATAGTTGTTGCATTGTTTGCATGTGCATATGTTGAATGATAATTAAATGCTTTAACTTTAAAGAGAGTTTCAAAGCATTCACTGTTTTCAGGTCACTTTAAAATGCAATCAAATGTTTAAATGTTGGAGGCAGATTGTATTGTTTATGAGTGTCTTTGAACGTGCGTGGCAGAGAGAGCTTCTGATTGGTCTCCTCTTGGTCACATGGCCTCACATCCGCTCGCTCTGCCACTGTTGCTGTCTGGCAGCTATGACAACGAACTTTTAAAAGTTGGATGAATGGCTTCGAGAAAGAAGAAGCTTTCCCCCTCTAAAGTGTACAGAAAGGCTCTGAAATGCACCGTATACCTGGACATTCACAAAGTAAGTGCGTATGCTGCTTTACTACGATACTACAACAACTGCCCTGTTAGCTACTGAGCTAACGAGCTTAACGTTACATCCTCTTCCCTTTCCTTAACGTTCCCTAACCAGCTAGCTAACGGTCACTAACGGCTCTCACTCAACATGTAAATGTGATTAAATGTCGTTGAACTAGCAACTTGCTTACTTAGCTCATCAGAAAGGTTTTATACCAAATATTCCTGAATATAATAGAGCTTGCTGTGATTTAATAGCAGTGGTGTAAAGTAACTAGGTACATTTACTCAAGTACAATTTTGAGATACTTGTACTTTACCTGAGTATTCTCAGTTTTTGCTAATATTTACTTCAACTCCACTACATTTTAGAGGCCAATAATGTCCTTTTTACTTTGTTAATAGTCACTTTTTAGGTTTATCAGCTAATGCAAAATCTAAATAAATTATTAAATAATAGTTGACATATATTTATAAGTTAAGATATCCAGCAGCAGTAAATGAAATTGTTCAAATTAGCTAACATTTACCAGTTGTGATGAAAACACATGAATTATCATAATAGTAACTCAATATATATATATATATATATATATATATATATATATATATATATATATTGAAATAGGCCATTACATAGAAGGAGTACTTTTACTCTTGGTACTTTAAGTATATTTTGATGTTAATACTTTTGGATTTTTACTCAAGTTATATTTTGATTGCAGGACTTTTATACGGAGCCCTGGAGGGTTCATAGAGAGAAAAATAAATAAAACGTGGCCACGTTTTACTTTCTCGTGCGCACGCTTTAGTAACTCGTGCGCACGAGTTACTAAAGCGTGCGCACGAGTTACTAAAGCGTGTGCACGAGTTACTAAAGCGTGCGCACGAGTTAATAAAGCGTGCGCACGAGTTAATAAAGCGTGGCCTCGTTTTATTTAAATTGAGGGATTCCTGTCCGTGACTCACAGTATCTGCCCACAGCTGTTTTATAGAAGGAAAACCTCCTTCACTTTATGAAATCTCAGCGGCACCAGTGGCCTGTACTACGAAGCAGGATTGGCTATTTACACTATTCATTCATGAAGTATGACGCTGCGCTGTCAGCACGCGTCTCCATGTTTGTGATTGGTCAAATGTTGCTAACCCCGTCCCTTTCACATGAACGCGCTCTCAGCCGGACAGAGAAACCCTGGTTGATTTACTGAGTTGATAACCAGCTTCGTAGGACCGCTTATCGACATCGCGTTTGTTAGGGTCAGTTAAGCCGGGTAAATCGAACATATTCAGGTCCAGGGTCTGTTGAACTGGCTTTGTCGTACAGGGCACTGGAGGCAGTAACGTGTAACTCAGCAGAATCTGAGAAGAGCAGCACCAGCTGCAAAGAGCTGTGCCTTTTACTGTTTACTTCACTGCGTTTCCCTTCATTAGAACCGCTGAATAGAGATCGAGGCTGCTACGTTTAACCACACATCGAACTACCAGAGTATTCTCCCTCGCTTTATGAAGGAGATGTCCTGTCACCGGGGCGCATGATGTGTGTGTGCTCAGCTCCGCTCTGTGTGCGTGTTCGTGTGTATCCGACACCACCGGCATTTGTTTTCAAATTACCACGAACAGTACTTTACACAAATCTGGTTCCCCATAGTTAAGTGTATTCCCAAGTGAAAGAAATGTGTTTAATCTTAATCTCGATGTGCTATAGTCCTGCCGGAGTGCACCGGAATGAACGATACTATCATAAACAAATGCCCCCACACACACACACACACACACACACACACACACACACACACCACACACACACACACACACACACACACACACACAAAACGAGGCCACGCTTTCTTAACTCGTGCGCACGCTTTAGTAACTCGTGCGCACGCTTTAGTAACTCTTGCGCACGAGTTACTACGTGGCCACGTTTTATTTATTTTTCTCTCTATGAACCCTCCAGGGCTCCGTACTTTTACTTGCAACAGAGTACTATTACATTTTAGTATTTGTACTTTTACTTAAATAACACATCTGAGTACTTCTCCCACTACTGTTTAATAGCTATGTATGTTTTTTTTGTACTAGTTGAATTACAAAATACTTACCCCCAAAATAAAAGCTTTCCCTGGCTTTAAATGATGTGGCCTTTTTGGGTTTGTTATAGGCTAGTAGGGGTGTAACGGTTCACAAACATTTCGGTTCGGTACGTACCTCGGTTTTTAGGTCACGGTTCGGTTCGGTACGTTTTCGGTACAGCAGAAAAAATTATCACAAAACATAACATATTTTTTTCTAATTATTATTAAACTGTGAATATTCACTCAAATAAATACAAAATATAATAAAAAAAACATTAAGGTGCAGCATTTCGATGAACTGAAATAATCTGTATTTGAACTTTACTGTACTAGTACTCACAAAACATAAACTATTAGTTTTGGGTTTTTAATTATTATTAAACTATGAATATTCACTCAAATAAATACAAAATATAATAAAATAAACATTAAGGTGCAGCTTTTTAATTAACTGAAATAATCTGTATTTGAACTGTACTGTACTAGTACCTAAGCAGCCAGTTTGACATTATGACTTGCTTGTCATTGTATTTTCATGTTGTTTTAAAGAAAGATGAACTTGTCCACATTGCTTGCCGAAAGGGCAGATCTGCTGGCACTAACAATGTCTCCTGCTGTGGAGAACACCCTCTCTAGGGACAGAGGTAGCAGATACAGCCAGGTAGCGCTTTGCTAACATGGCAACATAAGGATATTTGGTGTTTGTAATAGCTTTGGCTCGGTCTGAACTCTCTGCGAGTGGTGGAGGCTTAAATGCTAGCGGGAGTTGGGTTTGCACTTCAGTCTTTTTTCTTTTGGTACCGGTGATATTCACGTTCGGGTGATGCCTTTTCAAGAGTGTGCAAGTTTGATGTATTGCCAGCCGCGTAACCAATTTTAGTTGAACAATGCCGACAAACAGCTTTGGTTCGGTCCACCTGTCTTTGTCCGTCATCCTTGTACGTAACTGCGAAACCAAAATATTCCTAAACCGGAGACTTCAATGATGCTGGAGGATTTTCAGCTCAACTTTATCTGCGTTCGCCATTTAGACAGTTTCTCAAATTACTGACTACATTTGAACGCATCCCTCTGACATAGTATGCCTCTCGTCCAATGAAATGACTTGCTCGCTCTATGACGCGTTGAACACAATGGGAGCAACATTCTCTGAATGCTGCGACGCAGCACCTGAGATTACTTTCAAGAAGTTGTTCACGTTCTCAATTTTTTAAGTTTAACGTTATATTCGTTCGGTACACTTCGGTACACATGTGTACCGAACCGAAGGGCCCGTACCGAATAATTTCGGTACGGGTACGTGTACCGTTACACCCCTATAGGCTAGCTATCTGTTACAGTAGCAGCAGCCTTTATCAGCCATTGCACATGAGTAAAATAACTAAACGAAAGTAAATAAATACACATACAATGTTTTTTGCCTTTAACCCCGGTCATAAATATTCAGCCAGCAGGTTAAAGTAAAACACATTAAAGTAACACCACTTTATAATATGTCCTAAAATGTGAATCACTATGGTACAAAGCTGATCTGGTCTTATTTCCACTTTGTATATTTAAGCAATTAATCTTCATTTATTTCCCTCCTACTCCTTCTCCTTCTGATATTGATTCTTCAAAGCACTCCTGGGGCTCTTTTGCTGATTTGTTTCGACATGTTTAACTCTCAAAGTGTTGCTCACAGAGGGATAGGCTATTCTTGTCAAAAGGCAGAAAGACACCGGAAAAAGAACATGACTAGAAATCTGTAACTGTAGTCACTTGCGTACACTGTCTGTGCGCAGGTCACATGTCCAGGAGTGCTCCTGACTAAATACAAAGAGATCTACCTCAGTGTGTGCATCATGGGCCAGTACAGGAAGACGCCCTGTGTGCCGCCTGTCTTCCCTTTGCGCTTCCACCACAAAATGGTATTTGAGAAGGTAAGAGTTTCATGCCGCCTGAATCACTATGCACAACATGTCGAAAGACCATGTCTGTGGCTAGACCTGGGCAAAATATCAATAGTACTATGTCGATATTCTGATGTAAGACAAGAGATCGTCTTAAATATTGGATATTGTTGTTTTTGTGCCACATGAGCGTACTTTTCTTTCCTCGGATTTAATGTATTTATAAGTTTGCAATGTGTGTTTTTCTGAACTTACTTGACTGTTATTTTCCATTACGCACTTAGTCATTGTCCACAATACTGTGTAACTGTTTTGTGAGTGCTCCAATATTCAACCCTATCATTTGATTCACTAAAGAGTACATTCCCATCCTAGCTGCTGTTTTTCATTCTGTTCGTGTCTTTTCCTTTTTGCACTGCAGCCTTTTATTGTCTTGTTTTTTAAACGTTAGCATTAAAACTTGCCTCCAATTACTGCCCTAAGTCCTGATAAAAGGCTACTTTGCCCCAGAAAGTTGGAGCTGTCTGCCTCATCTTGTTATCATTATTGATTTTCTGTGTCCTTACTCTGTTCTACCAGACGTTCCCCGGCGTTGTTGACCCTGCTGATGTAGCTGACCTCCTGGACGGTACACGGCCATCTGGGATCTGCCTCCTCATCTCTTAGTCCTGAATACTCTGCTATGCAAGCTTATAGGCCATTAGCTGTGATACTGATCATTAGCTCACAGTCTGTTTGTGCTTTCCTTCCTCTTAGCTGACACAACATCTTTTGAGCTGATTCAGTTGGTGCCTCCAGGTATGCTTTCTGATGATGCCATATGGGACTTTTCAGTCCCAACTGTATGGATTCATTACTCGGCAAAAACTGCTTCTTTAACTTGGGTTGTGTTGCTGTTTACTGTTTGTCTTTGCATGTTGTTTAGAGGGGGAGGTGTTAGCTACGATGAAGGAGAGCAGCAGAGACTTCCTGTACCCGGGAGAAGGAGAGCAGCAGAGAGAGACGCTGATGAGGAGATCCTCCTCCTTTCCTGTAGGCTACTTTCCATCAATTCCTTTATGTATATTATGTATTTCTTCACCCTGACCTGCACCAATGTTCTAACTCTCTAACTTGTAAATATTACAAGTTACAAAGCTCTAAAGACGCACCATAGGAGCAGAGGTGGGAAGTAGTGCAGTACAAATACTGCGTTACTGTACTTAAGTACATGTTTCTGGTATCAGTACTTTACTCCACTACTTATTTTTCTGATGACTTTTTACTTTGACGTCTCACATGTTGAACACAAATACCTGTACTTTCTACTTCTTACATGTTGAACTCAAATACCTGTACTTTCTACTTCTTACATGTTGAACTCAAATACCTGTACTTTCTACTTCTTACATGTTGAACTCAAATACCTGTACTTTCTAATTCTCAAATGTTGAACACAAATACCTGTACTTTCTACTTCTTACATGTTGAACCCAAATACCTGTACTTTCTACTTCTTACATGTTGAACCCAAATACCTGTACTTTCTACTTCTTACATGTTGAACTCAAATACCTGTACTTTCTACTTCTTACATGTTGAACACAAATACCTGTACTTTCTACTTCTCACATGTTGAACACAAATACCTGTACTTTCTACTTCTTACATTTTGAACACAAATATCTGTACTTTCTACTTCTTACATGTTGAACTCAAATACCTGTACTTTCTACTTCTTACATGTTGAACACAAATACCTGTACTTTCTACTTCTTACATGTTGAACACAAATACCTGTACTTTCTACTTCTTACATTTTGAACACAAATATCTGTACTTTCTACTTCTTACATGTTGAACACAAATACCTGTACTTTCTACTTCTCACATGTTGAACACAAATACCTGTACTTTCTACTTCTTACATTTTGAACACAAATATCTGTACTTTCTACTTCTTACATGTTGAACACAAATACCTGTACTTTCTACTTCTTACATGTTGAACTCAAATACCTGTACTTTCTACTTCTTACATGTTGAACACAAATACCTGTACTTTCTACTTCTTACATGTTGAACCCAAATACCTGTACTTTCTACTACTTACATGTTGAACACAAATACCTGTACTTTCTACTTCTCACATGTTGAACCCAAATACCTGTACTTTCTACTTCTTACATGTTGAACTCAAATACCTGTACTTTCTACTTCTTACATGTTGAACACAAATACCTGTACTTTCTACTTCTTACATGTTGAACTCAAATACCTGTACTTTCTACTTCTTACATGTTGAACCCAAATACCTGTACTTTCTACTTCTTACATGTTGAACTCAAATACCTGTACTTTCTACTTCTTACATGTTGAACTCAAATACCTGTACTTTCTACTTCTCACATGTTGAACACAAATACCTGTACTTTCTACTTCTTACATGTTTAACCCAAATACCTGTACTTTCTACTTCTCACATGTTGAACTCAAATACCTGTACTTTCTACTTCTCTCATGTTGAACTCAAATACCTGTACTTTCTACTTCTTACATGTTGAACCCAAATACCTGTACTTTCTACTTCTCACATGTTGAACTCAAATACCTGTACTTTCTACTTCTTTCATGTTGAACTCAAATACCTGTACTTTCTACTTCTTACATGTTGAACACAAATACCTGTACTTTCTACTTCTTACATGTTGAACCCAAATACCTGTACTTTCTACTTCTTACATGTTGAACCCAAATACCTGTACTTTCTACTTCTTACATGTTGAACACAAATACCTGTACTTTCTACTTCTTACATGTTGAACTCAAATACCTGTACTTTCTACTTCTTACATGTTGAACCCAAATACCTGTACTTTCTACTTCTTACATGTTGAACACAAATACCTGTACTTTCTACTTCTCACATGTTGAACCCAAATACCTGTACTTTCTACTTCTTACATGTTGAACTCAAATACCTGTACTTTCTACTTCTTACATGTTGAACTCAAATACCTGTACTTTCTACTTCTCACATGTTGAACACAAATACCTGTACTTTCTACTTCTCACATGTTGAACTCAAATACCTGTACTTTCTACTTCTTACATGTTGAACTCAAATACCTGTACTTTCTACTTCTTACATGTTGAACTCAAATACCTGTACTTTCTACTTCTTACATGTTGAACACAAATACCTGTACTTTCTACTTCTCACATGTTGAACTCTAATACCTGTACTTTCTACTTCTCACATGTTGAACACAAATACCTGTACTTTCTACTTCTTACATGTTGAACTCAAATACCTGTACTTTCTACTTCTTACATGTTGAACCCAAATACCTGTACTTTCTACTTCTTACATGTTGAACTCAAATACCTGTACTTTCTACTTCTTACATGTTGAACACAAATACCTGTACTTTCTACTTCTTACATGTTGAACACAAATACCTGTACTTTCTACTTCTTACATGTTGAACACAAATACCTGTACTTTCTACTTCTTACATGTTGAACACAAATACCTGTACTTTCTACTTCTCACATGTTGAACTCAAATACCTGTACTTTCTACTTCTTACATGTTGAACTCAAATACCTGTACTTTCTACTTCTTACATGTTGAACTCAAATACCTGTACTTTCTACTTCTCTCATTTTCCAAACAGCTGGTTCCTTTAGTCTGAATGTGTGTTTGATGCGTGATCATTATTCTTTAGAGTCATTGCGTGCCTATTGATTTGAACACGATCCGTGTATCCATCATTTCCTGGTCTTCTCTAAAGAAGAGGGACCAATGGAAACGTTGTCATGTTGCCGTTGTTCAGCATGGAAACATTCATTAGCTAACAATGACATTATTGTTCTATTAATATAAAGGGAGGTCAGGTACTCTTTAAAACAGCTGCTAGTTATGGGTACTTTTTACTGAAGTACATTTCAAAGCCTCTTTACTTCTACTTGAGTAAAGGATGTGTGTACTTTTGCCATCTCGCATAGGAGTGAAAAAGTTGTTTGCAGAGTGTGTGCAATAACACCTATTTATTCAGTAACTTACTTTACTAACAGCAAAGTGCAAAAGTAACTTCACAAGAGCAGCTCTTAATTGATCACATGATTGATCTCACATGTGCTCAGAGAGGAAATAGCCAATTAGACGAATGGATTTTACCCTACATCTACCATTGCAAATCCTAGAGTTTACTCAGTAGTGTGTAATTAAGCATACATTTTAATTGGATGTTGTTTTTTATATTCGTAAAGTCCTTTATATATCCTGTAGTAAACACACTATAGAAACACAATTTAAAAACCTAGTAACTTAAGGTAAATGTTTGCTCTTTGGCACGATAACAAACTACTGTGTAAATTGGAGGGACTTGTTTAAATGAATACTAGGGCTGTCAAACGATTACAATTTTTAATCAGATTAATCACAGCTTAAAAATTAATTAATCAGATTAATCACCATTCGAACTATGTCCAAAATATGCCATTTCTTTATGTATATTGTTGGGAATGGAAAGATAAATGAAAGAAGGCGATATATCCATTTAACATACAGTATGTATGTTTATTATAACATTGTTCTGTGTGTCAAAATGAAAGACAGCCCACACACCTATCAATCATCAAACCGTGGGGTCTTATTTCATTACGTGTTGATTTCAGTAGCGTGGCGTGGGGAAAAAATTAGGGGAAGCCAATAATACGTCCTTTTTTTTGGGTCGGGGGTGTGGTGGTCAATGTAATAACGTAACCAGATAAGTGATTACAGCACCCGGTATCATTTTACACACATTTGTATCATACAGACTGTTAGCCTGTTATCTAACCGACAGGTCTGCACGCACTCTCCAGCCCAAACTCTAATAAGCATTCATCCATCCATCCATCCATCTTCTTCCGCTTATCCGTGGTCGGGTCTCGGGGGTAGCAGTCCCAGCAGAGAGCCCCAAACTTTCTTTTCCCTGGCGACATCAACCAGCTCTGACTGGGGGATCCCAAGGCGCTCCCAGGCCAGCGAAGAGATATAATCCCTCCACCTGGTCCTAGGTCTACCCCTTGGTCTCTTCCCAGCTGGACGTGCCTGGAACACCTCCCTAGGGAGGCGCCCAGGTGGCATCCTAACTAGGTGCCCGAACCACCTCAACTGGCTCCTTTCGACGCGAAGGAGGAGCGGCTCAACTCCGAGTCCCTCCCTGATGACCGAACTTCTCACCTTATCCCCTAAGGGAGACACCAGCCACCCTGCGGAGAAAACCCATCTCGGCCGCTTGTATCCGCTTGAATAAGCATTCATTCACAAACTAAATCAGGAGACCTTTAACGTTTTACGTCCGATTCGCTCCTTTGTTCCTCGCTGTACACAGCTCCAGTTTGGGCATTGGCCTGTCATCAGATTGTATTTGTTGTTGCTGCTGTAGCGGAAGTTTAGTACAATTATTTTTGATTAAATACTCCAAATCTCCACCCTCCATAATTGCACTTGCTTCAGTTGCTTGCTACTTTCTAACGGCGGTGAGAGTGATGCAGCGCAGCTTACTTCCGGGTTTTAGGATGCGTCACTGCAACACTCAGTTGATGCGATTTGATTGGATTGTGAGGCAAGGGAAGCCAGCCGCCTCTGGCTTCCCTTGGCATGGCCCTGACCAATCACAGGTTGGCAGGGGCATGACGTGAGCCTCATCTGATTGGTCAATCGCTCCTTTTTTTTCACCAAGGGAAGCCAATTTCGGCTGGCCTCCTCTCGCAAAACAGAGTGCAATCTACTGTTTCACCATAACATCTACAGGGGCGCTGTTTCACTCTTTGTAAAATACTCAATGAGAATGGGGGAGAGACGGGCCGGCAGCAACACACAACAAAGAATTTCTGAAACTAAACGAAGTGTTTTTATTTATTTATTAAAATTATAACTACAATCGAAAAAACAGGGGAAGCCTGGCTTCCCTTGGCCTCCAGGAGAAAACGCCACTGGTTGATTTCTATCAACACGTAATGTTGTATCGATGTATATAGAAATGTACTACAGCAAAAGTATTCTCCGTCGGGACTTCCTGCAACAACACCACGTCCTTATCTTGATTCTGATTGGCCAGAAGACATTATCAAAGATGTTTTATTGAGAAGACGATCACTACGTGACAAACGTTTTCAAAACCGTTTCTAGTCTTCGGTATTTCCAGACAAGTGGCTCCTGAAATCAATCTTACCAACTGCTGTCTGTGCAATTTACTCCGCGCGAGTTGGCGGACTTTATTTAGCTTACTTTAACATAATTTTTCATGGTGGGGCTAAGCCATTTCTTGGTATGGGTGTAGCCTACCCCAGCCATACTCTGGCACTACCACTGGTGGGATGTATGGGGCGGGCCATTCTGCGCATGCGTTAAATATTTTAACGCAATTAATTCAAAAAATTAATTACCGCCGTTAACGCTATAATTTTGACGGCACTAAAAAATAAATTTTAATTTAATCAGAATCAGGTTTATCACCTGGTAGGTTCACACAGACGAGGAATTTGACTTGGTGTTGTGGTGCAGACATAAAATATAAAACAAAAAATCTTTAAGGACACCGTAATAAAATATAGTTAAATAGCAATAAAATAAAGCAGTAATTTACATGGAAATAGAATGCTATGAATAAATTATAGGATATAAACTATGAAATATGAACATTGTGTGCATTAATGTATGCATATAGTTTATGATGTGGCAGAGGTAAGTGTCAGTGGGGGGGCGGGCCTTGTTTATGAGGCCGGTAGCGGAGGGGGAGAAACTGTTCAGGTGGCGAGAGGTTTTGGTCCTGATGGAGCGCAGCCTCCTGCCAGAGGGGAGGGGGGTGAACAGTTTGTGTCCAGGAGGGGTCGGCCACTATCTTCCCTGCCTGCCTCAGGGTTAAGACCAAAATATTACTATAGCGGTTTGTTAAAATGCAGAGTTTCATCACATGTTTGCAAAGGTACCTGAGCTTCTGTGGATTGAGCTCAAAAGGATGGATGTCAGTTGATATCTAAACGTTGTTCACGTGTCACAGCGACCCCACATAGTGCGATCTAATGTTAGATGTGTCCTTCATAGACAGGAGAAGATTGTGAGTCTCCTTCTAATCTCTGTCTTTGTTACATTGCATTACATGTCATTTGTTAGACGCTTGTATCCAAAGCGACTTACATACATTCAGTATGTGGGCAATCCCCACAGGAGCAATTTGGGGTGAAGTGTCTTCAGGGACACAACGACATGCTGACTGCAGTGGGACTCGAACTTGCTATCCCCTGATTCGAAGCCCAGCACACTATCCACTGAGCCACAGTCTCCCTTGTCTCACATGACAGGAAGGTACACCAAGATAACCAACTCAAAAGTGCTGCCTTGTCTTCAGCAAAGTTAAATCATTTATTCAGAAAACAGCGATTTCCATATCGAGCTGTTGCCTCACTTTGCAATCCAGACAGAGGAAACAAAGAACTCTTCTCACTCATTCTTCATCTTGTCACTTTCCCTCCTCCTCTTCTTATATCATGTCTTCCTCTTCCTTTCCTTCATCTCTGCGTGGCTGTGGGTGGCTTTCCATCCTCCCCTCGTCCTCCGAGGCACTCACTGGCATATTTAAATGTCTTCTAACACCCTTCCCCTCAACATTGCTTTTATGTGTTTGTGTTTGAGGCCTACATAGCAATTTAGATGTCTCTTTCCAAATGCCATATTATTTAAACATCACTGGAGCCTTTCTCTATTCTCAAATGTGTTTATGTAACGGCGAAGATTGAAGATTTGCGACTGTGAATTGGTATTGGGAGCAGAGTTGTTATGTGTGTGTTTGTCTCCATCTTCCTGTTAAAGGTGTCGTTTGTTTCTATCGTCCGTCTCTCCCCCTTAGGGAATCTCCCCCAAAGTGGAGTTCGCCACGACATCCGTCATAGAGGAGAGTGAGGGGGGAGACAGCCGGCCTGCCTCACCTGTAAGTGTGTGTTTTTATTATATAAGGTGTGTGCCTGACACTAAGTGTGGGGAAAACGTATTATGTAGGACGAGTCTTTTTTTCTTCTGCGATACAGTTTTAAATGTTTTTCAAGAAATAATTACCTAGATTTGGCTACTGATGAACAGTCATCCTACACACACACACACACACAATACACACATCTGAGTCCGCCTTGTCTGTTTACATTATTGCAATTAGTGGATATAACTTATTCAAATTCAAAAACACAATATTCTTGTACACACTTTACCCTGCTAAGTGCACAGTGGACACACACACACACACACACACACACACACACACACACACAGAGATACACAGACACACACACAGACACGCACACACACACACACACACAGAGACACACAGACACACACACACAGAGACACACACAGACACGCACACACACACAGAGACACACACACACACAAAGACACACACACACACAGAGACACACACACACAGAACACACACACACACAGACACGCACAGAGACACGCACAGAGACACACACAGAGAACACGACACAGACACACACACACACACACAAGAGACACACACAACACACACAACACCACAGAGACACACACACACACACAGAGAGACACACACACACACACAGAGACACACACACACACACACAGAGACACACAACACCACACAGACACACACACACAGAGACACACACAACACACACACAGAGAGACACACACACAGAGACACACACACAGACACACACACACAGACACACACACGCACACGCACACACACACGTAGAGAAACACAAATACACTGCTGACAGTTTTTCTAGTTTGTTTCTTTATGTCTGTAGTGGATTTATAAAACACTAGAAGAAGACAAGTTGCTGTGTGTTGTACATTTGGTTTCCATGCCCTGTAGGACCGGCTTTGTCTAAATGTAAACATTTATAATCTATCCCCCTTGAGTCCAGGACACAGTGTGTTCTCATGTCATTTCAAAACGCCTCAAATCTGAACACATGGAGTGTCGGCCAAAAGCTCGATGAGTGAGGACTCGTCTCCGGGGGGCTCTAATGAGAGATATCGCTCGCCATCGGATTCGTCTGTTTCCCACCATACATACCCACCTTGTATTGTTGCCATGGCTACTGCATCTATCTATCCATACTGGCAGTGTTTCAAGGGTATCTGTGCTCTCCTTGTGAATGTAATTACAGAGAGGCAGATCTGTGATGCTGATAGCGAGGCTTCTCTCACATCCCACTAGCTGCGAGTTTGCACAATGTTTGTCACAGAAGCAGTCCGTCAGCTTTTTACATTAACTCCCCGAGACGAGGGTGACCTGGCTTCTCGGCCACCGTGTCCTTTCTCTGCGGAAAATCACATTTGGAAGAATTTACAGAATCGTTTCTCTCTTCGTTTTATTACTTCTTTTCAAAGTACGGTAACTGCTAAGTGGTTTTTAATGACATGATCTCAAACACAGTTGCAGTCTTCAGTATAGAGTTGTTTTTATCTGATCACTCGATTAACTATTTCAAGAGTTAAGAAATTGTTTTTTTTATTATATAACAAAACAGTTTCTTGTTTTTACGGCTTCTCTGCTGTCAGTCAGACAAAAAGGACATCTTTACTTCAACTGATTCATGGAAGAAATTCACTGGCAGATTAATTGATAATTAAAATAATCCTTATTCAACTTAACCTTCACCGTCTTGGCACTTGTGGCGCAGTGGGTTGTGCGTTTGTGTTGGGATCAGGGGTCACAGGTTCAAACCCCACTGCAGTCAGCATGTCGTTGTGTCCCTGAAGACACCTCACCCCAAATGGCTCCTTTGGGGATTGTCCACAGTATGTAAGTCGCTTTGGATAAAAGCGTCTAACAAGTAACATGTGATGTAATGTGTGCAGAAAGTAATATTAGCAGATTAAAACTGTTAAAAGGGGCGAATAATAGTCCAAATGTAGACTAAATAAGAGTCTTACCTTGTGAGAATGTAGATCGTTCACAAACAGTCCTGTTTAGAACATATGATCTATCACACAGCGGTTGGCATGTTGTGTCAAAAGCAGTAGCATGCATTTCCCAGGTGTGGTAACCTGAGTTTAGCTATTTGTTTAAATGGGATGTCATTGACAGCGAGGCAGATTGTCAGAGTGTTCTCCCGGCCCCCTCGGGGGGATGTCTCGATCAGAGCACCGCTGTGGCTGTCAGACAGTGCGATTTCTCCATTTTCTCTCTCCTAATGGCTCCTCAGCATAGGCACTTCACAGACTGCCTCCCCGCCCAGCTGACAGACCTGTCCTGCTTTTTATAGAGATGTAGAGTGAAAGCTACTTCTACAAATCCTCTGAAACTGCAGAGATGAAAATACACTCGGTTTATGCAGATCTTCTGGTGCTCTAATCTTTCAGCCCTCCACTTGGGCCAGACTTAAATATATGAACAATTGTCAGATGGATTACTGTGATATCATGTAAAGGCGGTCAGGGTTCCCAGAGGGTTCAACATTAATCCTTCAGTGTTCCCTTTGCTTTTTGTGCCACCAGCATGTTACATCTTGCATTTAACTTATTCTCCTGGAATGATTTGTGCAATGTTTTGTACGTTCATTTAATCAATTAAACAATTACAATGTATTTTTCCCAAATAAAGCATTTGTGTCAGGGGACTTTACAATGTGTACACCAGGGCTATTCAATTAGTTTGGAATGGGGCCGGTTGATGAAAATGATCCAAAGCAAGGGGCCGGGAAAAAGATGGCTTGAAATATGAGCAATCATATTAAGAGCTTCAGATACAGTAAATACTACAACAGCATAGAGGAGTGCATATATTGTGTTTAATGAAATCAAACAACATAGGCCTTTGTTTTAGTAGATTTCGGTCAGAATGTGACTCTTAATGGCAGTTTGTGATTTTGAGGCTATTTCAGTGAAACAAGGCCGTTTGAACATTTGTCAAATGTATGCTTAATTCTGTCAAAAAGTTACTGAAAGATAAACTTTTGTGTTTAAAAGCTGACCATGAAGTACTTTGTTTTAGTAGATTTCGTTAAGAATGTGACTCTTAATGGCTGTTTGTGATTTTGAGGCTATTTCAGTGAAACAAGGCCGTTTTGCACATTTGACGGATTAATGCTTATTTCTCTCAGGCCTTTATGGATCTAAATGGCAAGTTCAGGACATGTGAAGCTAATTTAACCATCAACTTCATTTCATTTGATTTAGGTGAAATTATCTAACCGTTCACGCAGAGATGCAATAAAGGACAGTTTGTCACTACAGTAGCTAGTAGGTGGGTTCGAAACCCGAGCCCGCACAAGTTTTCAGGCAATGTCTTCCCCTCTGTCTCTCAATGTAACACCCTCTCTGGAATAAAGGCACTCTGGCCCAAAAATAAGTAGATTACTTTTTAACCTTATACTCAAAGGGCCAGTAAATATCACCGGGGGGCCGCCAATTGAATAGCCCTGGTGTCCAGCACACACAACCCCCTGATCTGAGAGTCTCATACCAAAAGAAAAACATTTTGCTTTAGTTTGGGTTTTAGACCATGGTGCTGACCTTCTAACCTGTTTTATCATCTTGTCTTTTAGAGGGAACAGAGTCCAGTGTTACCCATATTCATTGTGCCCGCATCATAATGACTAAAAACAGTATTGTTATTTGGTACAAACACTTGACCCCCCTCAGAAGAAATTATTTTTGACATTACATTTGATAAGATACTTTGGTTTTTGACCAATTACCTGCCAAACTAATGGCATTTCCACCAGCCTATAGTGCTTATTAGCAAATACAATAATGTCTAAGAATGTGATCATGGGGAAGATTACACCTCCTTAGCGTCAGCATGTTAACATTGTCATTGGTTAGCATCTTGAAGTTAGCATTTAGCTCAAAGATCAGCAGGTGGCAGGAAGAGAGCCGGAAGAAGATGGAGGCGGTGTTATATGTGGGGGTGGGAGAGAACACTTTGCTTCATTTGATTAAATCAGACAAATCTCAAATGGCATACCTCGATGAGGATTTATTCATCATTTAGTTTCTCTTAAAAAATAGTTTTAATGTTGTGTGATTTCCCTAATTAGCATTCAGATGACCTTTTCTTACAGCCAGGTAATTCCTCTTTATCATATTAGACTGGAGACGGCCGTCAAATGCAATTAACATTTGATCTTAACTTATTTATCCGTGGTTGGCATTACCCGCAGGAAGTGGGATATTGCCTTGCAGAATGATGTTAGTGGCCATTAGACTTATTGAAGTGATTCTGCAGAGCTTGTCTCCACGGCTGCTGTTGTTGTACCGCTGAAGCTGAATGATTTAGCGAATGCTTTAATGGCTCTGTCCGAGGAGAGAGAGGAGCTGCCGTACTGTAATTGTTCAAATGGCTGATGCATGCGTTAAGAAACCAGTGGTGTAAAGTAACTAAGTACGTTTAGTCAAGTACTGAGCTTAACTTGAGTATTTTTCTTTCTGTTCCACTTATATTGCACGTTTACTCGACTACATTTGTTTTCCACCCTATCAATTTAGTAAGAAATTAGTAAATATGATGCTTTGCAGTCAGACAAACTATCCAACGTTATATTTAAGCACCTAACCCAGTGAGTGAGTTGACATAAATTAAATTAGCAGTATTGTTGCTAATTGTTTAAGTTATTCTTTCATGTAAAAACATTTTGCAGTTCCAACTTCTCAAATATGAGATTTGCTGCTTTTCCTTTTAAATATTTACATTCATTTTAAATATTTTGGACTTTGAATCGTAATACTAAAAGTAAATGTTCCAATTTTAAGTAAATAAGTTATTTAGGTACCATTTTCAATGCAGTACTTGTACTTGTAATGGAGTATTTTGACAGTGTAGTATTAGTTGTTTTATTTTAATAATTGATCTTCTTCCACTACTGACAGAAACATCATTGTGACCTGCATAGAAATCTAATCTGCTGAGACAAATGTTATGTGCCATTAAAAAATCTGTGTGAGACCTCTGAGGCTAGTTTGACATTTAGGAACTATTTCCAGGGTTCCTACGGTCATTAAAAACCTGGAAAAGTCATGGAAATTCAAAATGCTAATTCCAGGCCCTGGTAAAGTTCTGGAAAACAATATTTTTCCTAAAGTTTTGGAAAAGTCATGGAAATGTAACTAAAGTTGCATCAAATATAATTTACATTTGATCTAATCGCCAAAATAGTAATATAATGATAATAATAATGATAATAAATACTGTAATGGCTTTTAACTGACGAGGTGTTTTGCTGGTGAGAGATTTGAGTTGCTTCAGCGTGTAGAATTTGATTTGTTTCAGATAGGCAACATGTTTCAGATGCAGACCTTAGTTTCCAGCTTCAGTGGTACCGCTAAGAAAGAGTAATTATTTTGGTCATGGAAAAAGAGGTAAAGGTCATGGAGAAGTCATTGAAAATCATTGGTGAGAAAGTGTATGAACCCCGTATTTAAAAAGTGTTATTTCTCTCTCTCATATTCTGTCCTAACAGCCTCAGACCTGCCGTCTCTCTCCAGTGAGGCCGTCTCTAACCCCATCCCGACAGAAGAAGTGTTCGCCCTCCACGCGGCTTTTTTCAGCGGAAGAAGATGCGAACCTTATCTCTTTGAAAGGAAGCAAGGAAAGGCTACATGTTGAGGCCAGAACAACAAACTGTGCACCGTCCTCACCTCCCAGACGCTCCCCTTCTTCAACTCACTCTGTCCGAAGTCCTCAGAAGAACAAGAAGGAAAGAAAACCCACTTCTCCGGGAGCTTCTGCAGACTACCAGCAGCCCACCGTCTCCTCGAGGACCCGAGCGCTGTCCCCTTACACCCACCGCAGGATGTGCCAGCTGTCGGAGGAAAACAGGCAGAGACTCGGACACCTGCAGCTGGGTCCTCATCGCTTCAGGAAGGAGACGGAGAGCCTGCCGCCATTCCTGGTCCGTAACGTTACATAAACTTTGTTTATATAGCACATTTAAAAGCTACCTCAGTTGACTGTACAGGGAGCACATCTAAAATAACACAATAGGAGTCAAATAATAAAACTATCATTAAAACAAGATAAAAAGCACAATAACTTGTAAAAACACATACAAATATCAAAATGTTGTGCTCAACTAGTATTAAACATTACATAAACTCGTCCAAACTGAAGGCAATTGACAAATCATGTGATGGTTTGTTAAATGCTAAAAAGATAAGATAAACCTTTATTAAGAAATTCACTAGTTTAAACAGCAACAGGGTGAAAAACAGGACAGCACAGATTAGAGATTAATACAATTACAATGATATACACTTAAAGGTGGGGTGTGTAGTTCACTTCAGAAACACTTGTTATATTCCATGGAATGCTCTTAACATCCCGATAGCAATGAATATATGAAATGCTTTGACGATAAATACATAACAAAACAAGTCATCTGTGGAAGCCGTGGCGCTGTGAAAAGCTCGACCAATCATCTGAGCCGGCTAAAGTAACTGGATGGCCTACCTGCCTGTCAGCCTTCCATCTGGGCACAAACTGATCTCGTGCCCTCATTGGTCATGTGCGCGTTCGTGTGTGTTGGAGGAGGGGCTCTGTGAGGAAGTCTGAAGGAAGGGGCAGATTCTTTCCGTCTGCGTATTTTCAAATTCTAGCGCACTCGAGCCGGTTTCTCCATTCTTACCTACCCTACTTTTAAGTCACTTTTTATTTATTCCACAAATATATAACATACATGGAGATGTACATAAACATCACACCCGCCTCAGTTTACAGTCCACTCAAATCTACACGTTATTGCTCACACAGTACCTACATTAGCCCTTTCCTTCCACGTCTTGGCAATTATACATAAATACAGACATTCATTTAAATTCTCTGACCTTTCCCTGGGTAGTCGGTACAGAAAGGTATGCTTACAACTCCGAAACAGGTGCTTGTTAAAGATTAAATGCAGTTAAGTAACTTTAAAATGAACATACATATTTGGGTCGTATATACATATTAGATATATGTACATGTATGTGTGAAAACAGTGTGTATTTGATGTCCTTGTGTCACATTGTTGACCCTTACAGGCACAAAGGATGTGTAATAAAACACATGTTCAGCGGCCAGGGGTTGAAACTAATGGGATCCTGAAGTGATGTAGTTCAAACCTCAGTGGGAGATTCCTAATTTGGTTCCATAATCTAGTGGGCAGATGAAGTGGAGGGCATAATAAGAGAGCGCTGTTAATCTTTCTACCTGAGCTGTTAATGGATTTTGACGTCATTAAAGTGTTTCGCTGTGTGCACGTGTAATACGGCCTGTTATCCCCACTGAAGGGCTTCACTGTGCTTTCATAGCTCACATCCTGCATGGAGGCTACACACAGTCATTTGTTAACGTTTTAATTATGGTCGTATCACTGCTATGAGATATTAGCATAGGAGTGATTTTCTGATCACACAACCGTGGGGAATATGCCGTTGATGGACAACAACAACAACCCCCTCCTTCATTTACATCAAATCTAATCCTGAGGTATGAATATCAAAATCCACTAATGTGCGGGTTTAAAAGCAAACGATTAGGTGTAGAGTTGTTTGTGTTTATCACACACATGAATGGCACTTACAACAATACAACGGGTGTTTTATTGAATAGAAGGAGGGTGTTTTTCCCCCTCTGGTTTTCCCGGGGGAATCTTCTGTCTACAATTAACCCCAGTAATTGAGAGTCAAGCTGCAATTAACAGATACCTAATGAAGTAGCTTAGCCCCATGCTGAATGCATTATCACAGCTGGTTTGTTTGAGGAAAGGGAAGCTCAGTCCCAACCTGGAAGCTTTGAGACAGGTGATTATTATTCTGTGAAATGCTCTTTGTTTTCTTTGTGCCTTATTGTGATCTTTTTAGGGAATTTACAAGACATTAGTGAATGTGTGTTTTAATGTATTTTGTTGATTTCATTTATGCAATATAGCAGATGTCATATCCTTTATATCAGGATGATGCTTAAAAGTGGAATATAGAAAAAATACTTCTTGCTTAGTGCACTGTGCCCTAATGCTCATTTCCAGGTTCATATCAGTGTGTAGTGTCTCTACTTTAAAGAGTCCTCTCCTGCTGATGTTCAGGTGTATATCAGTATGTAGTGTCTCTACTTTAAAGAGTCCTCTCCTGCTGATGTTCAGGTGTATATCAGTATGTAGTGTCTCTACTTTAAAGAGTCCTCTCCTGCTGATGTTCAGGTGTATATCAGTATGTAGTGTCTCTACTTTAAAGAGTCCTCTCCTGGTGATGTTCAGGTGTATATCAGTATGGAGTGTCTCTACTTTAAAGAGTCCTCTCCTGCTGATGTTCAGGTGTATATCAGTATGCAGTGTCTCTACTTTAAAGAGTCCTCTCCTGCTGATGTTCAGGTGTATATCAGTATGTAGTGTCTCTACTTTAAAGAGTCCTCTCCTGGTGATGTTCAGGTGTATATCAGTATGTAGTGTCTCTACTTTAAAGAGTCCTCTCCTGCTGATGTTCAGGTGTATATCAGTATGTAAGTGATCTCTACTTTTAAAGAGTCCTCTCCTGCTGATGTTCAGGTGTATATCAGTATGAAGTGTCTCTACTTTAAAGAGTCCTCATCTGCTGATGTTCAGGTGTATATCAGTATGTAGTGTCTCTACTTTAAAGAGTCCTCTCCTGCTGATGTTCAGGTGTATATCAGTATGTAGTGTCTCTACTTTAAAGAGTCCTCTCCTGCTGATGTTCAGGTGTATATCAGTATGTAGTGTATCTACTTTAAAGAGTCCTCACCTGCTGATGTCAGGTGTATATCAGTATGTAGTGTCTCTACTTTAAAGAGTCCTCTCCTGCTGATGTTCAGGTGTATATCAGTATGTAGTGTCTCTACTTTAAAGAGTCCTCTCCTGCTGATGTTCAGGTGTATATCAGTATGAAGTGTCTCTACTTTAAAGAGTCCTCTCCTGCTGATGTTCAGGTGTATATCAGTATGTAGTGTCTCTACTTTAAAGAGTCCTCTCCTGCTGATGTTCAGGTGTAAATCAGTATGTAGTGTCTCTACTTTAAAGAGTCCTCTCCTGCTGATGTTCAGGTGTATATCAGTATCTAGTGTCTCTACTTTAAAGAGTCCTCTCCTGCTGATGTTCAGGGGTATATCAGTATGTAGTGTCTCTACTTTAAAGAGTCCTCTCCTGCTGATGTTCAGGTGTATATCACTATGTAGTGTCTCTACTTTAAAGAGTCCTCTCCTGCTGATGTTCAGGTGTATATCAGTATGTAATGTCTCTACTTTAAAGAGTTCTCTCCTGCTGATGTTCAGGTGTATATCAGTATGTAGTGTCTCTACTTTAAAGAGTTCTCTCCTGCTGATGTTCAGGTGTATATCAGTATGTAGTGTCTCTACTTTAAAGAGTCCTCTCCTGCTGATGTTCAGGTGTATATCAGTATGTAGTGTCTCTACTTTAAAGAGTCCTCTCCTGCTGATGTTCAGGTGTATATCAGTATGTAGTGTCTCTACTTTAAAGAGTCCTCTCCTGCTGATGTTCAGGTGTATATCAGTATGTAGTGTCTACTTTAAAGAGTCCTCTCCTGCTGATGTTCAGGTGTATATCAGTATGTAGTGTCTCTACTTTAAAGAGTCCTCTCCTGCTGATGTTCAGGTGTATATCAGTATGTAGTGTCTCTACTTTAAAGAGTCCTCTCCTGCTGATGTTCAGGTGTATATCAGTATGTAGTGTCTCTACTTTAAAGAGTCCTCTCCTGCTGATGTTCAGGTGTATATCAGATGTAGTGTCTCTACTTTAAAGAGTCCTCTCCTGCTGATGTTCAGGTGTATATCAGTATGTAGTGTCTCTACTTTAAAGAGTCCTCTCCTGCTGATGTTCAGGTGTATATCTAGTATGTAGTGGTCTCTACTTTAAAAGAGTCCTCTCCTGCTGATGTTCAGGTGTATATCATGTATGTAGTGTCTCTACTTTAAAGAGTCCTCTCCTGCTGATGTTCAGGGTGTATATCAGTATGTAGTGTCTCTACTTTAAAGAGTCCTCTCCTGCTGATGTTCAGGTGTATATCAGTATGTAGTGTCTCTACTTTAAAGAGTCCTCTCCTGCTGATGTTCAGGTGTATATCAGTATGTAGTGTCTCTACTTTAAAGAGTCCTCTCCTGCTGATGTTCAGGTGTATATCAGTATGTAGTGTCTCTACTTTAAAGAGTCCTCTCCTGCTGATGTTCAGGTGTATATCAGTATGTAGTGTCTCTACTTTAAAGAGTCCTCTCCTGCTGATGTTCAGGTGTATATCAGTATGTAGTGTCTCTACTTTAAAGAGTCCTCTCCTGCTGATGTTCAGGTGTATATCAGTATGTAGTGTCTCTACTTTAAAGAGTCCTCTCCTGCTGATGTTCAGGTGTATATCAGTATGTAGTGTCTCTACTTTAAAGAGTCCTCTCCTGCTGATGTTCAGGTGTATATCAGTATGTAGTGTCTCTACTTTAAAGAGTCCTCTCCTGCTGATGTTCAGGTGTATATCAGTATGTAGTGTCTCTACTTTAAAGAGTCCTCTCCCTTCTGATGTTCAGGTGTATATCAGTATGTAGTGTCTCTACTTTAAAGAGTCCTCTCCTGCTGATGTTCAGGTGTATATCAGTATGTAGTGTCTCTACTTTAAAGAGTCCTCTCCTGCTGATGTTCAGGTGTATATCAGTATGTAGTGTCTCTACTTTAAAGAGTCCTCTCCTGCTGATGTTCAGGTGTATATCAGTATGTAGTGTCTCTACTTTAAAGAGTCCTCTCCTGCTGATGTTCAGGTGTATATCAGTATGTAGTATCTCTACTTTAAAGAGTCCTCTCCTGCTGATGTTCAGGTGTATATCAGTATGTAGTGTTCTCTACTTTAAAGAGTCCTCTCCTGTTGATGTTCAGGTGTATATCAGTATGTAGTGTCTCTACTTTAAAGAGTCCTCTCCTGCTGATGTTCAGGTGTATATCAGTATGTAGTGTCTCTACTTTAAAGAGTCCTCTCCTGCTGATGTTCAGGTGTATATCAGTATGTAGTGTCTCTACTTTAAAGAGTCCTCTCCTGCTGATGTTCAGGTGTATATCAGTATGTAGTGTCTCTACTTTAAAGAGTCCTCTCCTGCTGATGTTCAGGTGTATATCAGTATGTAGTGTCTCTACTTTAAAGAGTCCTCTCCTGCTGATGTTCAGGTGTGTATCAGTATGTAGTGTCTCTACTTTAAAGAGTCCTCTCCTGCTGATGTTCAGGTGTATATCAGTATGTAGTGTCTCTACTTTAAAGAGTCCTCTCCTGCTGATGTTCAGGTGTATATCAGTATGTAGTGTCTCTCCACTTAAAAGCCAACACACTACAGGAAAGGGAAACCTCCCAAAAGAATAATAGTGCCTCTTTAATCAACATTGGGTTCATGATTTTGTTTGACATCATCTTGTTTTCTTGTGTGTTCTCAGGTCTCTCGTAGCAGCAGTGCGTCTCTGATGGGAACTCCTTCCTCCTCACAGAATAACAGCATGCAGCGACGCTCCGTTAGCTTCACAGCTGATCACAGCGGTACGCTACACGCTCACATACAACAAAACTAAAGCATATACTGTTATATACCTAAGTACCTAAAGCCATGGTGTACTTGCTGCAGGAATAACTGTGTGTCATTCATCTAGACCAGTGTTTCTCAAACTTGTTCATACCAAGGACGAGTTAACCAATAAAAAAACACTCGCGGACCACCTAACTCCACAAATATCCCAAAACACATCGTTTTTCTAGAACAGATTATAAATCGCCTGAAAATGGTGCAAACAAGTGGCAACATGTGTGATGAAGGTGTTGCCCATGGCTTTATCATGCAATAGAAAGTGAAACTTAAGCTCCATTGCGGAGATATTCCCGCGAGAGTGCGGAAAACTGAAATGTATTTATTTATTTCAAATGTGAAATGTTACCAATATACTCATGGACCACTAGGGGGCGCTCACGGGCCACCAGTGGTCCACACTTTGAGAAGCACTGCTTCTAATATATCAAGATTAGTTGTGATTTATTTCCTGGTTTGATGTCTTTGTTTACATCTTCAAGATAAAAATGAGATGAAGTCTTTAAACATTAATAATGCACTGCATTTATTCATTTTTATTACACTTTTATATGTATGTGTTGTTGAGCTAGCAATGATACGATGCTCTCTGACTTGTCATAGTGTAATAATGGTGCACACTATACTGGATAACTTCCACCTTCACCTGTTTGTGTTTAAGGAGTTAACTCTATTTCCTGTTCAAATGAAGTACTGTAGACGTTATTCAGTCCATAAGCCGAGTGTTCTGTCTTTATAAATGTGTCTACTTGTCTTTGTCGCTGTAGATTCTTCTCTGCTGGGCAGCTACAGACCCAGAACAGCCCCAGTGAGTCTCTTTATTATAACATCTCAAACCACACAATGTTTTAGTGCGTACACAATAATCAAATGATATATTCACACAACTGTTTTACATATTTTATCCTCAGAAAAGAAAGTGATGAACTATTTTCATTCAAACTAATCTTCTCATCTTGCTTCCCACTTTTACTGGAGATGTGTTTAATCTAAAGAAGAGGAACAACAGTAATGAAGAACTATTGGTAACACGTATAGAGAACCGCAGTGACGCGTCCTAAAACCCGGATGTAAACTCCTTCCAGTTCCTTCGTCAAAAACGCAATGCAATCTCTCCATAGGATTTAGGAAAATAGCTGGAAATCAGGTCTGTGGTTGAAACGCATTGAAGAGACGGTTCACGTTTTGTTCAGCCGGATAATCTCCACATGTCTACCCTACTTTTATAATTTTCTAATCATAAATCTAGTCGCAAAATGCTAACGTTATGCTATAAAGGAACTACAGCAGGGTCGCTGCTTCAGCGTCACGCCGACTTCAGATCCATATTCAAACACACAGACTCTAAATGGAACGAGTTGAAGTGTTTGTTTGAACAGTCTGCAGGAGGCAGGGACTTGCTTTCAAGCAGAACAGAAACTAACTTAGAGGAGTGTTCACGTGTTCGGCGTAATGACGTTCAACGGCCTCCACGACTTCTGTAGTCCTATTCAGCCACTTGGTAACAACCATCGTTTTTCAGACACGTCAACTCTTCAGAAATCACCAGTGGGGTCACTGCTGATGATTTAATGTCGTAGAACAAAACGTGATCTGTCTCTTCAATGAGTCTCAACCACAGACCTTATTTCAGATAGTTTCCAGAACCCTCTGGAGAGATTGCTTTTTGTCGAAGGAACCGGACGTGGTAAAAATGCTAACTTACTTCCGGGTTTTAGGACGCGTCACTGCGGCATTCTATTGCTCACGTCTCCATGAAGCTATTGGTGACACGTATTGCTCACTTCTCTATGAAACTATTGGGATTAAAGGTTTGCACCACTCTTTACTCATCATTCAAGTATTTTACCAAATGTTAGGGAATAATTTGCTCAGGTTTTCAACCTTTGACACAGTTAATCATTTTCTCCTCTCACTGTCTACTTTCCCACGGCATAGTTATACAGCCTTGGGTATTGCTGCTATCTCTCTGAAGGGGGAGGAGCTTGGGTATTGCTGCTATCTCTCTGAAGGGGAGGAGCTTGGGTATTGCTGCTATCTCTCTGAAGGGGGAGGAGCTTGGGTATTGCTGCTATCT